GTGTGTGTGTGTGTGTGTGTGAGTGTGTGTGTGTGTTTACTCGTAAGAGAAAATGTTCAGGGGTAATATGTGTGACGCGGAGAAGGATCCTGAGAGCGCAAATTGACACGAGATCGAGTACAGACCCCCACCCGTACCAGTAATTCCATTCGACACGCACATCTCCCATTCCTCCCCCATGTAAACAACTGTTTCTAAGAGAATACAGCTTATAGAAGACACTTGCCACCACCCCCTTAACCTATAATTCACCGTGGTCATTACTAAGATATTTATTAGGATCGTTTCGCTAGGCCCATATGTACCATGCATGCAAGTGCATAATGCATTGGAAACAATCAAGGAGCTATTTTTGGACAGCGCCAATCAGAAAGTTGGGTAACATGAACAAACATCCCATAGTTGTTGTTGCAAAAGGCAGCCACGCGGATTCACAACGCCGATTGTATTGCCAAGTTACGCCTCCGAATTTCCTGGCTGGGGAGATTTCCAGTAACTGTATTGTTATAACTCTCTCTACTATTATTATAACCCTCCCACCACCTCCCCAACTGCCTCCCTCCATCGCCTCAACACTGATGCAATGTGTGTGTGTGTGTGTGTGTGTGTGTGTGTGTGTGTGTGTGTATGTGTGGGTGTGTGTGGGTGTGTATATGAGTGTATGTGTATATGTGCGTGTCTGTGTGGAGTGATAGAAAGAAAAGGAAGAGAGAAAGACCTAGAGAGAGTGGGAGAGTGAGAGAGAGAGAAAGAGAGAGACAGAGACAGAGACATAGACAGACAGAGAGACAAAGAGAAAGATGGGGAGGGAGGGAGGGAGGGAGAAATAGAGATGGATGGAGATATAAGGGTAGGACATCGGAGAGACAGATAGTCAGAGAAATATGTAAAAAGAACCGTCTGAGCGTATTCACAAACTGGTAAGACAAATGCTGATGTAGTCATCATAGCGATGTTGTTTAGTTTTTCTTTTGTGGAATGCACACTGGTCTCAACAGAAATGTTATAAACTATTCGTTTTAGGGAAACGTCAGAACGGAGTTTATGTGAATCTTGAATAAGGATATTTTGGGCTCCAGGGGTATCTTGAGAAAAAAAAAGATCTGCTGTTGTTTGCTTGTATTCGGAACCAAAGATGAGCTTGACCGTGCAGTCCGTAAGTATCGGACAAACGTAATTCAGATCAAAGTTGTATTGAAGTATTTCTAAAACGACATTTTTCTATCCCTTTTCTGGAGTTTCGCAGCTCTAATTATGACCAAAATCTGTTCAAAAGCAAAACAGGTTTAAAAAACGAGCCCCCCCCCCCCCTGACAACACTCAGGAACCATGACACTTACTTGTACTCTGAGACGAACTGATCGTACAAGAATTGTGAGATGATGGCGGTCTTGCCAACTCCAGCGGCACCCATCACCACCAATCTGTAAGATGAAAAAACGCAGAGAAGAAAGATTAAAACTCAATTAGTGAAGTATTGCTTTTGCCGACATTTATATTCTAAATCAAGAAATAAAACAAAGAAAAGAAAATGTACGCATTTTAGGTACACTTTTCTTTCTGGTTTTAAGACATTTGACGTTCTTGCCAATGGCTTGTTTCGTACTTGAAGATGTAGATATTTAGAAAAATACGCATTTTTACTTTCTCCCCCCCCCTCCTCTCTCT